GCATGCAGTCACAATAGCTGGTTTCAGTTATTCACTTTGATACTTCGACCAGCAGCAATTCATAGCGTCGCTTTTCTACCGTGCCTTTAGCAATTTTTCCGATTGCTTTGATCAATGCTGCATTGCCTAGTGGTTATTCTGCTGTAGCTCTGGCATTCTTTCCACACCCTAAGAAGATTGTCAGCTCTGTACTCAATTTTGCCATTGTATCTAATGTCTTGTAAAATTACAGGTGAAAACAACGAATAACGATCATTATCGCGTCACACCGGTTTATGGATTCGTTGCGAAAGGTAGCAAATCTGAATTGACAATCATCCGTCTGGAAGGACCACCCAAAGAAGATAAGTTTGTGGTGCAATGGGCAGAGGTACCAGAAGAAGAGGACGATCCACAGGCACCCTTCAAAGCAGGTGCCCAAGGCGGTGAAGTAACCCTGCCCGTCAAAGCTGAGTGATTCTCGCTTTAAGCCCCACCGCAATAAACGCAGCTTCAGATTTGCATAAGCACAGAAATTTGCATATAACTTCCCCACATACAATTTGTTTAGAATTTTCTCGTCCTTTACACGTGATTGGCATAAAATTTGTCTTAACGGAGTTGTTTTACATATTGCTGTATCACAGTCTAACAAATCTTATAATATCCTTGAAATTAACCTGGTTCCATCATAATGCCTGTGAATTACACTGAGGAATAAGGGAACCAAATGCGCAATCCAGAAAAATTCATTATTTCTCCTTTTTGGTACCGCTTATTTCTAACAATCTGCACTACGGGTCTGAAGAAGTAGCTTGCGTATGTAGCACAAAAATTGAGGGATGCCAGTTGTAGGGGAGCAGCTATACTGAGTTTGTGGTGAACATCGGATCTCAATTATTATTTTGGTGATCTTTCTAACTTTGGCAATAATTTCTTACTGCTAGGACCCCGCTATAAATCAGTATAACTGCACGCGTTCGCCAGTTCCACATTTCACAGATATATCTTGAGATATTCTAAGTTGGAAATATGTTTCTGGTAGTGTGTTTGCAACAAATTCCTTTCAGCTAGCCTTAATTTTATCATCTAAGATAAATTCTAAGAACCAAAAAAGGACTGTTAAATTAACTGTCTACCTTGAAGCAGTCGTGATCTGCCTTGTAGCCGGAGCTGATCATTGAGACATTGCTAACTAAATAATAACAGTGCGTCTTCCCGAGGATCCAGTCCTCCTTCCCCTCTGGACATCGCACCCGATGCGGTATCTCGGTCATCGGTTCTTCTGCAAATATACTCCATCTCAGAAAATTTGCCCTGCATTTATTTTAATTTAGATAAAATTTGAAGCCCAGAAAACACTCATTCTGTGGTATTCTGTGCACCCGCGATGGCAGAAATATTAGCAACAGCTGCTGACTATAAAGATCTTATCGAACTTTATCTGGCCTATACCTACCTAATCCATCTTCATCAAATTCTGGAAAAAAAAAACAAGAAAGCATATCTACCTAATCTATTTTCGTCAAATCCTGGAAAATGTCAGGATACTAAATTCAGATTGAGAATATTCCGGGAAAATCTGAGTGAACAGCCGCAGGCTCTGCCGACTATTTTGACACGCACGCACAAAAACATGAAAAAGCATTAAAAGCCAATGTGTCCAGGAAATTCGGTAGTTACTTGCCTTTTGTGAGGCGGCACACAACCTGTTTCCGCCTTGTGCAATCCTCCATGTGCCACGTAGGACCATCTTTGCCAATTTTCAGCACCACACAATCACCATTTTGCAAGCTTGGTTCATCGATACCCCAAGGCGCCAAACGTACGCGTAACTTGTCTATCCGCTCAAAACTTCAAAGCAAATTCACTGCATTGTTCGAAAAAAAAAGAAAAAAAAAAACGCAAACAAGACTTGGCGAAGACAAAAAAAGCCAAAACGAAAAAATACGAAGAGGACAGGAAGATGAGAAAAAAAAATGCGAAGACGAAGGAAAAATGTCGAAACAAGGAGGAAAAGAGTGCTTATTTTGGGAAATTTCAAGTACAGTACAAAATAATCCTGCGGCCGTCAAACCTTTTAAAAAATTTAGTTACCACTTGGAAATAATAGCGGTCAACCAGTCGATGATTGCTTATTGTATTTTTATTAAATATAACTGAGGAGTTTAAAAATGTCGTTAATCAAACGCTGATAAAATACTATCGCTAGAAGAAGGAAAATCGCGAAGTGCCAAAAAATCACAGTTTTCTGAAAAACTACGAAATATTTCAACGTTCCTATTAAGAATCTCCCATCCATTATTTTATCTGCATATTTTTACGAAGAAAATGTTAAATTATCAATCATAATGTACTTTCCAATTTCTAGATCCTGAAAACTGCCAAGTTTTCCTTTAAAAACTTCCGATACGATGCTACTAAAAAAGACCGGCATCAGTATCTTTTTCAGCTGCTCAGATCAAACATTTCGAAAATGTGGTACCCGATGTTTTTCCTGTAGCGAACACCAACAAACAGCTCTTCATACTTGTTTTCCAGTGCTCGCGCAGTTAGAAATGCCCATTCGAATAAGTCATTTGCTTGAGCAAGCTGACCATAATTCTTGTATAAATGCTTGTAACGATCCAGTTTGGGTAGAGTTGCACATATTTCTGATGCTTCCATGAACGAGTAATATCCATTCACTAGAACTCAAAATACCTCAAACGCTGTCCATCAAAAAAGAAAAAAAAACAAAAACAAAAAAAGCTTGATGCTAAGCAATGACACTTCAAATTTTTAAACCTCTTCAAAATCTTAATCTTCAAATCTCTATATGTCTTAATCTTCAAATCCCTTCAAATCTTAATCTTCAAATCTCATCGGTCTGTTCATTCAAATGTTCGGCTTCGCAGAACCTTGTGGTGCTGCATCTGTTTTGGATTTTGAAGTAATTACTGCGCTCCCGTATCTACACATTCACAAACTTAGAATGCTTTAGTCGGCTTTAATTCATAGCATGTTTCTCCATCTCCGCAGCTGGTAATTTTTGCAGTTACTTTGACCAGTGCTGCATCGCTTTGGTGATAAATGTGCTAGTATCCCTGATCTTTTATGCTGGTCCCCAGTGTTCAGTCATATATATATATACATATATATATATATCGTGATTTAGATTATTTCATGTGTCTCCAAACTAAGCAAGACAACTAGGTTTTTGCCCCTATTTCGTTTCGCATAGCCCAATTAATATACATAAACTTAGAATAAATTCATATGTTCAATACGCGCAAGGATATTACGGTTAAAATTTTTTCTTGTGCTAATATAGCCAAATCCTTAGCTTTACAGTCTAATGTATTAATAGAATTGGGTTTGTAAATGAATATAAATACCGTCGTTGTTAGGATCATTGGCCAGAAAGCAATACGTTACATCATCCAGATCCTCACATATTTTTTTAGTCCCTGGATCTGGTGATACCTCTGAAAGAAAAAAAAACAGAACATTCATAAAACTTTACAAAGCCCTTTAAAGTAAACAATTTTGGATAATTTTGGGGATCCCACAGAAAAACTGAACAAACTGTTCTTTTTTTCGTTACTTGAGTCAATATAACTGAAAATATTTGTCTGGACTGATTAGCTTCAAATTACCAGAAACGTTACTAGCCTCGGCTTCGTAGACGAATTTTAAACGTGGAATCATTCTGACGAAAGTTGAAGAGCGAGCGCTGGAAAAACGGGCGACAGAGCGAAGAGTGTTTGGTGCGTCTTTTCGCGACTTTATGAAACAATCAGAATAGGTGTTTTAAAACAAGCGAGAAAGTTAAATCCGACATGCAGGGCATATTACTCGCCTTGTTGGCTGCCGGTGGATGTCGCGCATTAGTGAGTGGTATCCGCGAGAAAGTAAACGTCCATTCGGGTGGGCTTTGAAAAAATAATAGATGCTGAAGAGCTAGAAATTCAAAAGTGTGGCGCAGCTGCGCGTTCTTTGGGTAAAGGCAACTCAGTCGCATTAGTAAAATGGAATCTCCACAACTATTGCTCAAGCAGTTTTGGCATTCTTGGTATTATTGTGCATGCTCTAAAATAGCAAAAACCTTACAAATGATGTCAAAATTTATCAAAAATGTTCTCTTAAAAAAAAAACCTTAGTAACAAAAAGAACCCAAATTCACTAGCCTGCATAGGTTTCACAAATGTAGGGCAGTTTCTTCGATTCGCATCGATTTGGACTTCTCAAAGCATTCGTATCTGTTGATGAATCCATTGAGGAAGGAAGAAAATCTAAAATCAAGAAACCAAGAATAATCAGAGAGTAAGCAATATAGTGCAGCAAAAAACTGCCTAGGCATTTTTGAGTTTAACTAAATTTTTGGTTTCTTTCAATAAATTTTGACTGTTTTCAAAATTCACCAACATTAAAAGGGGCACATAGCAAAGCGAAGCCTGTAAGGAATGACCTTAACAGCCATCTCTTGCAGCCAAACAGTTGTGATGAAATTCTTTAGTCATGCCAACCAATATGGAACTGTGAAAAATAGCACCGTTCTTGCAACATGACTGCACTAGTGGAACAACCAATCCTTCTACGATTCATCAATTCGTTTCGATGGTAAATCGGCACCGGTACATGCCAGGGATTCAAATTCATCATCAAATTTTTATTAAGAAATTCTTGAAAGAAGGTGCCGAAGAGAAGATCTCTCTAAAATGCGTGCTATTTCGCGTTCCTCCTCTATGTCTTCAGTTTTCGCTGTTAAAAACTGATGAAAAGAAAATGAAGCCAAAGCAGTTTACCGGTAATATTGAAGATGATGTCCCAGTAGCCGACCATATTTGTTGCATCCAAAGTTACACATGCCTAAAATTTGCTTAATAATCGATGCAGCGCTCAAATATTCTTGATATCTTGAAAACTCAACTAAAACTGCGCAACTAAACTGTTTCTTGGGAAGCGAAACTCCTTGTAATCAGACTTTTTTAGCCAATTTTGGGCCCAAA